ATGATGTTTTTTGACATTTTAATGCCTTACTATAATTTGACTTTTTTTCGAATTTTTGTGCCTTACTATACTGTGACGTTTTTATGCCTCATTACACTAGACTTTTTTATGCCTTTGTATACTATGACATTTTTTATGCATTATTATTTCATGACGCTTTCATGCCTTACTATTCTATGACTTTTTTATCCTTCAGTAAGACTCATAGGGTGGCACATGATGTAGAGTTTTGAAATGTCGCCTCACATCGACCTCACATTTTTATACCTTACTATACTATTATTTTTTCATTCCTCAATATAATATATTTTTTAAAATTCTATACTATACTATGGCACGTTTGTCCCATTAACATGCTACAGCATTTTTTAGGTCTTATTATAATATGATTTCTTTTATGCTTTACGATTGTTGGGCCTTGGTTTTTTATCAATTAATATTTTACACTTTTGCAACATGAAACACAGCAGTAGTTATACAAAGAGACATTTATTTACATGTAACAAGGTAAAACATACAATGTCGGATAAAAGTATAAACAGGTCTGTGTATGTGTGTATGTGAATGATGTATGTGGGGACACAGACAAAAACAGTATGGTAGATTCAAAATGGTCGCTGTGACCACATTGCATGAACATGAAAGCCTTAACAAGATGGCTGTAAACAAAGAAACTACTCAAAATGGAAGCTGAGGGCGGGGTTTCTTTGTTAGCCTAACTCATGTAGTCTAAAGGTGCCAGGTTAGAAGGAGAAGGTTAGCTGCATGCAGGCCCTAGAACTGAGATATGCTAGGTATATCTGTGAACATACAAGTACCAAAATAACTGTGTGACCAACCACAACATAAGCAAACATTACAACAAACTACATGAATACATTAAGCAAACATGTACATCAACAAAGGTCAAGAGTTCTGCTGCTCAGCTGTGGTGTGCTGGGCTGTGCTAGGTTAGGCTAGGCCCAGTTAACGTTACCCATCCTTAGAACAAAGAGAAATGTCTTTTCCAGTTTTCTGGTAGAGTCCAGGGAGTTTGTGTTGCTTCCTGATGGAGTTGAAGTCCTGTCTGGCTGTGTGCAGAGGAGGCCGCTGGTTTCCTCTTTGTTCTTTTTATAGTTAGCTGTTCCACACTAACTCTGCTGTGTCTCCGGTTGCTCAGAAAATCAGCGTCATAGCCGCTGAAGGAAACTTGTCCACTTGCGTCGCTGCTGTTGAATAGCAGAGTGAGAGAGAGTGCTACGGTCTGCTGTCAGGGGGCCTGCAAGAGAGCTGTTGTCTCAGGTAGCAGAGCTGACCTTGGCTGGGAGCCTTGTTGCTCCTTGAAGAGCCGAGAGGAAAGAGGAGCTGCCAATCCAGACCAAGCCAAGGAGAGAAGACAGAGAACAAAGAAGGGGATATATGAAATAGAGACATACATGAAACACTCATTGTAAAATGCAACTTTGTAAAGAACATGCTGATTAAAATTTAATCATTAAAATTCACACATGTACATATATTACATTTGCGTATGGGCATTCCTGAATGTAAATTCAGATCTTATACGTTAATGAACTATTTGGTTGACAAGCTCTTTGTGTTTGAGCGGTGGCGGGGTTGTTGCATCCCTACCAATGTTGAGACCAAACCTATGCCCTTGGTCACACTGGTCTACAAAGATGTGGTAAAAGTGTAATGAGTCATCCCTTATCATATTCTCAGGGTCTGAAAGCTTGACAGGGACCTATGGCTCTGTGATGCTGTGAGGGACTTTTTCTCTGCATTGATTGTGCCCACTTATCCACTTAGAGAGGAAGGGTCACTGTAAATCACACAGTCATTCTGACTGATCAACTTTATTTCACGATGAAGTGTTTTTATTATAATGGGAGTGGGAGAGTGAGATTTTGAAACCTCTGCACTACCTTTCATCACAAGACTAAATGAGAGAATGTCTTTTGGAAGAATAGCACTGTTGTCGCTCTATTTAAGCTGGTCAACTAATTGACCAGCTTCTGCTGGAACAACAGAACTACACTGTGTAACACACTCAAATAAGTACCAATATAACCAGAGCTAAAATAGATAGAAGAATCTCTGGATAAAACATCCACTCACTGCCCAGTTTTGCTTCCTCCTCAGGCTCACAAACATGACTCAGTAATTGATTAGTTCAAAAGCTATATTCAAAAATAATGTTCACAGAGTGATGAGGTAAAGTTATTATGAGTCTCTCTCCAAACTCTCAGATCGTGTCCAACACACACACATTAAACATCTGGGGAATGAAAAGAGAAAATCAATATAGGGACAAAATAACTCTCAAACACACAGAGAAAACTACAACTTAAGAATCTATCTGTATCTGAAATTCAATCATCTGAGCAAATGGAGCTTAACAACTTAATGAGAAGAGAGAAAGGTGGTAATTACGGAGGGAAATTATTTGATATGCCTCTCTAAGAATCATATGAGAGTGGGAATCCAAACTGATTGAATTACCAAAGTCATAATTCTTTTAATGACTCGAAAGACAAACGAAAGTCTGAGCTGAAGAAACACAGAAGAACTTGGTGACATATGAACAACAAAAACTTTGATCAGTAATAAAACAGTTGTCAGAGTTTGTTATTCATGGCAGTTTTAAACAATCAGTGTAAATAATCATATACAATGATACATTAATAATAATGAATATCGTCCTTTACAAGATTAAAAAAGAACAGTTGTCAAAAACACAAGAGATTAAAGGGTGAGTTTTCATTGGAATGGGATGAAAATAATGGTGGCAATGTTTGTGTGTTGGTGTGCGGGTGTGTGTGTGTGTGTGTGTGTGTGTGTGTGCAAGAGAGTTCAGAAGCAAATTGCTGCAGCCATAATGTTAACTTATTGTGGTGATTGTAGAGGTTATGGACTTTGGGCCAGCTCTAACACACCATATGCACATATACACACACACACACACACACACACACACACACACACACACACACACACACTCATACACACAAAAGCTGACTGTAAATCAATTTTGCAACACCCACCATATTTTGTCTACATCACATCTGTGTATGATGGAAGATGCTGCTCATTATGGTGGGTAACAGTGATGCCAAAACCACATAAAGAGCAATGAAGACCAGTCTTCCCTGTGATGTTATTATGAGTCTTCATGCAGCTTGAACTTATTTTCTTTAAAATCAACATTAAATCAACAGTTTAGAAGCTGAAATTCTTTTTCAACCTACAAAATAGGACTGTAGTCCATGCGGTTATGTTAGCAGAACAGTCATAGTTAGGTTTGGGTACAAAAATGACTTGGATCAGGGAAATATCATGGTGTGGGTTACAATAAGTACTTCATCGTCATGGTTACAATAATAGTAGTCATGGTGAATAGAAACCTACCCCACTGGTTTCAAGTCTCCCAGGACAAAGTCTACTAAGACTATAACAGCAACTTCCTCATTTGTTCCTGTCATAACTACTACGACCACTAGGGGTCGTCTAACAATAAAACGTAACTGTCGGTCTATAGGGTTTCCATTACAATAACCACCTCCCTCAAGCTTGCATGCTGTATATAATCATAATACCTTCTTCCAAACCTTTCAACTAGATGTCATGGTCTTTCTCAGCAAACTGAGAAGGCTCATGTGTTGTCATGTGACAAAAGTATGTAACTTCGGTGATGAGGTAGCAGGTGATTGGTACTGGGTCATACATATTCAAACTACATATACTTACAGATCGAGCTGCTGGCTTTCAGTCGAGACTTTAAGGAATTGCACTAAAGTTCACAGGAAGTGAACCCCAGACAGTCGCTTGGAGGTGGACTGGCGATGTCTTTCTGGACCGCAGGAACTTTAAGTTCGATCCATACCAACCTCTGTGAAAATAACCAAAGAGCAAAAACCTAAATTAAAATGATTGATTCCCATTTTTTAATTACTTAAATCAATTTTTATAAGACAGAGAGAGATAATGAAGGATGGACTTAGAGAAAAGAGAATGAAAAACTGAAAAAAGAAGTAGGACTCAGTGGACAGGGAGAAAATAAATGAAAAAGAGAAAGGCAGGGGAAAGGGGGAAGCAATAAGAGGCAGGTAGGATTCCAGTTGATTCTGTTAAATGTAGCAGGACGGTCGAAGAATGGCAGGGTGACAATTAAAACTGCATACAGTTAATGGAAAAGTAAAAGTAGAACAGAGGATTTTAGGAGATGGACACAAGGCGGAGAGAAAGAAAAGCCAGAAAGAAATGTGAAAAATTAAATGGATTTACGGTGACAGATGAAGAGAAAGGCTGTAATGCAGTATTGAGCAGAGGTTCAATATCTCACTACGACTCTGAGCGGCTGCCAGTTTCCTTAAACCTTTCTCCATCTGCACCTTATCTCTCGCTTTACATCCAACCCTCCTGCTCATCCTTCCCTCATAAAGAAGCTGACATGATTTTCACCCTTTCTTCTCTACTCCCTTCCTTCTCCAAAATAATAATATAGATAATTAAACATTTTTGGATAAATAAACGCTTTGGTTTTCAATCTATTGTGATAATGACAATGACAAGCCTTTAATTTTGCTATTTTAAACACCCGGTGTCTGGGTGTATAGTGCAGATACTCCCCAGCAATTCATTTTTAACCATTTAAAAAATATATAACCAATAAGGCAGTTATTTATTGCATCTTGTAATGATCAGCCATAAAATAACATATTTTCTCTTCATCTTTCCACGTGGCACAACTGTTTCACAGGTGGAAAAAAACTGAGGAGCTTTAGAAAATATTTTTAATCATAAAAACAGGAGAGAAAACAACTTAGATCAAACTTGGAAAATAGATCACCAGAATTAGATTTTTTTTTCTGGGGCTGCATCATGTCACTTTGCAAAAAGAGAATAAACTCCACAAATAAAACAGCAGCTGAGGATAAGTAGGAAATTCTCTTACAAAGACGCATTCTACGAAGGCGTGGCCCCGAAGGCGTGGCCCTGAAGATCATATAGATCCACCCATCGGATCCTTCGTTGACCGGGAAATGAAGGACACTCACATAATTCCCATGTCGGGTTCAGGTACAGATTTCACTGAAGATGGAAGGTAGAGAGTAAGACACAACAGTGGCAACAGATGAGAAGAAACATTGAGGTTCGTTAATTTCCAGAACAGAACAGGTAAGGTGTGAGCTGAAGGACAGTGAGGAAAGTAGATCTGAGGGAGGAGTCCAAGAATGAAAAGAGGACAAGTGGAGATGACCTTGAGCAGCAGACCTCCATCATTAATGACCTTCAGCTCAAATCGGGGCCATGCAGAGTGAGAAAGAGGCGCTTCCAAATTAATTGGAGGAAATGAAGTTAGAGCTCCGTGTTGAAAAGCAGCTGCGCACAGTGGCTGAAAACAACCTGGAGACAACCACTCTTTGCCTGAAGGTGCAGCTGATTGATGAAGACACTGCAGAGTTTGAGGCTCATTCAAAGGCAGAAGAACTGGAAGCAGATCTTTAATTTGAGAGGACTCAAACTGAGAAGCTGCAGAAGACATTGAGTAAGGCGGAAGAAACTCTTTTAAAACAGAGGCACGATGCTAAAAAGACTGTGGAGAGATCCCAGGCTTCCCATCGAGCTCAGCTGGAGGAACACAGTGGAGACCAGCAGGATCAAAGCTGCCCCTCAAAAGGGCAAAAGATCTGCTGGAGACTCAGCACCAATGCCTGCAGTAGGAGGAAACCTCCCTCAAGGAGGAGATGGAGAATTTTAGGGCGCAACTGGACAATGAGAGAGATGAGAAGAATCAGCTGATTGCTGCTCTGAAGGAGGCAGAGCAGCAGACTGAGTGTTTCCTGTGGCAGCAGACAAATGATCCCTCCTGGCAGAGCTGGAAAAATCCCACTGCTCCTATCTTGCCCAGTTGGCAATGCATGAAAAAGAGAAACAAATCTGAGGCTGCTCTGAAGAAGGTCAAAGAGCAGCTGGACAACAATCGTCTGCAATGGCAGCAGGTGAAAACCTCCTTGCTGGATGAAATGGAGAAATCCAGAGTTTGTGGCTGAACCTGAAGAAGGTTGAACAGCAGTTGCAGAGGCACAGAGGACATCAAGAAGACTTTGCAGGAAAAGGGGCTGGAGTGGGAGACAGAGAGCTGCATCAGGGCCCAGCTGGAGGAGCTCGAAAGCAAGATCGATGAAAAGAAAAAGAAATGGTACAAATTCTTCTAATTAATGCCCGGCTCCAGAATTCCACAATCAGCAAATAAATTAAGGACAGGCAGGTTTATTTCTTGTCGCAGCAGAAAGTGAGCAAGTCAGATGTGAGAGAACTATATCTGGCGTGGGTCCAGCTAGTCCCCCGGGGGAATTACACCCCAGGAAATAGTAAATAAAGCACAGACTTGTTCACTGAAGGAGCAGTGATGTGATTCAGAATAAAAGTATATTTACTGAATTAATTGTGTAAAAGAAACTTTTTCAGTAATTAGCTGGAAATGAGTCAATTTGATGGGACACAAATGTATGAATGTATATTTTGTTTCCAAAAATCTACTTTAAAATATTTTATAGTGAGAAGTTATAAGCAGCTTATATCCAACAAACAATAATAAAAGGGTTTTTGGCCAAACCTTTAATTCAGCTTTAATTGAATTTGACCTTTGAGTTCTATATGTCATATATATGAATAAAAATACTTGGATTGGGGCCCAGTGTGTGTCGGTGTTATTTTGCTGCCGGCGTGTGTCATGGATCAGTTAATCATCGCTGTGTTCTACCTGAACAACCACAAGCTCTGCTTCTCTGCAGACCGCATCAGCTGTTCGCCTCTGAACCCAAAAACAGACAACAGTACCTCAATCTCATGGTTGAGAGGGTGGGAAATGTCTCATATGCTCCTCATTTCTTTCACTTTCTCGCCCCCCCCCATCATCCCTCCTTTATCTCTCTCATTTTCACTAAAGTGCTCTTCCATCTCACCCTCCTCCAACAGAACATCAATCCATTTTTACCGAGCATGACTCCCTGCCTTCCTTCTACATCTCCAACTTCTTACTTGTCATTCATTTCTCGAATTTCCTCTCACTTCGCTTCCTATATTGATATATTGGGCCTCAGACTCTCCGTAGCTTAGCTCTGTCATATTCATTTCTTATTCATTTTACCTATTTCATCCTTCCTTTCCTCCATCAATATCCAGGGATGGCTCACTGTGACATTTTTCTTCACCTTTTCATGGACATTTTCAGGCCGTTACCTGTATTTCTCTCACTTGTTTTCCCTTTTTCTCTTCTTCCTTCCCTCTGTGACTCTCCAAGGACTCCAAAGAAATTGTGGACAATGCCTTGACACCAAGATGAGAAGGGTAGAGGATGGGAAATGAAAAAGGGCGATATAGATCCTTTATTTGTGAGGCAGTAAACAAAAATATCTGATCGGTAAAAAGACCTTCTGTACAGGGTTGTGATGTGAAATGACTGAGCAGAAAATGCATTAATTTTGAGCGACTGCCATTTCACCTTGACCAGTTGACTGAACTTAAATTGACATGCTAATGAGATATAACTGCTCGCTCTTGAATCATGGTCAGTCTAGTGCATGGATGTCGACCTAAACACAGGCTCAAAGTTAATTCATGCCGACCATATACAAGACTTTGAAAGGACTTTTGAAAGACACCAGCTCACAAGAGTTTTCTTGTCTCACACTATAAGATTTTGTAAACACTGGGGATCTTGTAGGGTCACAATTTGCAAGACTAGATTTCCCATCATGCTCCTGGTGGACATTTACAGGAAGAAAAACTGTTGTTATTTTCCAGACTTTTTTGCTCTTTGAAATGATTATCTATTACAAATTATTATTATTGTTACATAAAGATAGTAATTTAGAACTATAATTGCCATAATTTGCCCCTAAAATGATTCTTTGGACTTTGTATTATGATTTACTGTTTTATTTTGAAATGATCTTCCTTGTGTCCAATTACCCTTGCCTCCCTCATGTATTAAATGCCGGCCTCCATGCTCACGATCAACCGAGTTTGCTCCTTCCTGTTCGTTGCTGGAGAAGTCGACAGTGTTCACGTCGATAGAAGGGGAGAGAAATTATAAAGACACAGGAAACAGAGTGAGAAAGAGATGGAGGCGGAGAATAAGAGGAACAAAAAAAGGAGAAAGCTCAACTGAGAGAAGCAGAAGTGTTGTTGAGGGATTTCACTCGTTATGTTTATGGTTTTACCTCCACACACAGACAAACACACACATACAGACACAGATTTTCAGAAGAGAATGCACAGAGAAAGACCTTAGCACAAAACCCTTCACGCTCAAACACACACACACACACACACACATACACATTAGGGAACACATACTCTGTTACACACAAGGCTGTAACAGCTGAACATGGCAGGTGTTCCAACCTGAAACAAGTGACTGCCCTTTCTCTGACCTCAGGATGAGAGGAAAGACAAAAAAAGAACTCACAGAAAGAGAAAAGAAGAGGCTGCAGGTTGCTGGTGGCTTTATTCTCTCAGACAGGCGGAGACAGTAAAAGCTGTTTAATTCGAATCTAAATGCCCTTTTGACTTCAGGTCAAAATGTTGAGGCAAAAAAAAAAAATCCTGTTGCTCTTTTTGTTGTTTGTATAGAAGTTCACAGCAAATGTGTTAAAGCAATGACTTGGAAAGCACGGTTCAAAAAAAAAAAAAAAAAAAGGAAAAAGAAAAAGGAATATATAGTGTATGTAATCCTTATTAAGTTTCTTGCATGTAAAAGCATCCCTGTGTGACTGCCCTGTTCCAAACAGTTCAAAGGGGAATGACGACAACTGCTGCTGCGCACAGATCTGTTGTGTAAAAGTTTCGACTATCAGCTGCCGAGGACACAAGACTTTCAGGTGATGTAATGTATTTTCTGGTGACCGTACCGGAGGTCGAGCTCTTGGGTAACAGGCTGATAAACACTTCCTCCCGCTCCTTCAAACGCGGCGAGAGAAATACATCCTGCTTTTCCTGGGCAACAAAAGATCATTGATCTTTTCAATGTAAGTTTTAGGTTTCAGTTCAGTTGAACAGTTAGTGGTACAACTACTAAAAAAACCCATGGGCCTAAAAAGCTCAAGTTTTTCTAAAAAAAAAAAAAAAAAAAAAAAAATCTTGCATGTTGTCAAAGTTGCTAGGCAACAAGAGCAAGCATTTTGTGATGCAACAGTAAGGGCGGGCACAGCAGGTAAGTGGAAAGGTCTTATTTCCGTACTTCGTGGTCTACGACGGCGACGGAGGAATGACTGCGTGATCTGAAGGACGCAGACTGTCAGTACTAATGTAAAGCTTGATCATCCTGAAAATAATATCTGGACAAGTTTGAAGTTGTTACTGATGTAAATAATACATTTCCTGTATCTGATCTGAAAGTTATGATCCAGTGTTTTGATTTCTTGTTGTGGAATTTGTGCCAAAATTACTGCTGATGAAAATAATTTTCACATCTCTGTTGTATATTCATATCACATCCGTTTGATCATGGTGATTTAAGAACACAGCACATTTGTGCAGCTGTTTTTATGGCTTCTCTTTATCCCGAGCGAAAAACAATTATTAAATAAACTGATGGTTTTTAATTCAGCATATCTCTATCACTGTGTTCACACTTGAACACAGAAGGTTGGTAATGTTTGTCAGTGTGCTGTGGAAATTTAAAGCATGACTCACCCAGTGGTGCCGACAATACTGTACGCATTTTACAAGCAGATGGGACAGATGAGTCTCTCCATTTTTTTTCCCACTAAAAAGCAGATATGTGCTGTGTGTGAGAAGTTTCACCACTGTGCTGTAACCATTAACAAAGTCTCGTTTTTTACTTGCCAGAGCCAAAGTTTGTTAGCTAATATTAGGACACCCAGCTACAAGACACACTGACACACAGACTCAAGGCCTGTGGCGATACAATGGGACCTCACCCGACCAGATTAGACTGAATATTATTAGCGAGTGGTCAGACGCCGGGAACCAAGCAAATCTGTGAAGACCTCTACATGGAAGCTGTGCCTTCAGCGCAGTCTGGGACGCGGTTGGAGAAGTTATTGTCACACGACTCACAG